AAGTATCATTTTAATCCTTAAATATTAATGAATTTTTGTGTATATACTCAGAATACTACAGTTTTATAATTAGTTATATATTTTCAATAGTAATTTCATGTATCTTTTAATAAAATTTTATCTTCAATTAAATTAGACATAAATTTAAGTTTAGAATTTAAATTAGACAAATTCTTCCAAGTTGATATTTAAAAAGTTTTTATTTTCAAGTTTGCATCTGAAATTTTAATTTCATCCGTTATTTATTTTTTATCAACGATTTTGTATCAACTAAAGTTTTATTCAAATGACAAATACATATTTATCTAAGTAGTTTTAAGAAAATTCTCATTCAAAATTTGTTTCTTGATGCATGAAATAAGTTATTTTAATAGTTAAAGAAACAAATTGTTTAAAGGTATAATGTTTGAGTATCAACAACTACTTCGTATTTGAGTGTTCATTATTAAATGATTGAGAGTAGAGGTGTTCAAATTTGGTACCTGGGTCCTCGACTACTTGATTGACCGGCCCGTATCCCGACTACCTGCTAACCAGGTACCTGTAATTTGGGTAATCAGGTACTTGATTTTTATCATTTTCGAATTATTAATTTAAAAAAATACACATTTAAATGTTCAAATTACACACTCCAACATATAAAACATAGAATTTAAAAGTTTGAAATACTAAATACAAAATCCAATAATCCATAATATAAATAAAACATACATATTTTTTTATTAGTTTAATTTAATATATAAAATTATTAATAATTAAATGTAACATCCCAAACTATGGGTTAGTGACTTAATTGTAAAGTATCAGAATTTGGTGATTAAAGTAGAAGAATGAATTAGTTCAATGATTTATCTGAAAATAAATCCTAAAAGTTGTTAGTAATTATTAAAGGATTTTAAGGGCAAAGTGGTCATTTGACTTGGAAAGATAAGATAATGATATATATGGGATAAGATTGAGAGATTTCTCCAGAAACTCTCTTTTCTTCTTCTTCTTCCTCTCCTCCCATATCTCCAAGCTCAAAGGTGAGTCTTCTACTTAGTTAATTATTTGTTAAGTTTAAGATTGGGTTTTGATCATTAGATGATAACTAAGCTTAAGGAAAGCTTAAGTTATCTTAAGATTAAAAGATAAAGGAGATAGAGAAGATTAAAGATTAGAGGTTCTTGAATGAAATATGGGAATAGAGTTCATAACAAGAATTGAAAGTTGGATTTGACTTGTTATCAATCTAAGTAAGAGATATAAAGTAATAGAATTGGATTTGAAACATATTGCAAAATTGATGTAATTATTGAATTATATATGGAAGATAGGATGTTGAGGTTTAAGATGAAATAAATGAATATAGATTGGTTTAAGTATGTGTACTAGAGTTAAGAATGAAAAAGGGGATGATATATGAAGTGTTTGAGAGGAAATGAAGTAATTTTCATGCTGAAAATGATTTATGGGGTTTAGGGGGAATCGATACCCATTCAAAGGGGTACCGATACCCTCTCAAACGACAGAATTCCAGAATGTCATGAGGGTATCGATACCCCCAGTAGGGAATCGATACCCCCTAAAGGAAAAATGTGAATATTGGTTTAATAAGTTTGTTTAAGTTGCTAGTATCCAATTACAAGGTGTAGGTATCTAATGATTGCCTCAAAATGTACATTTATGTAGATTCTGCGCGTAAAGCAATTCCGGAACATTTGACAAGTAAGATCGATCAAGGGAAAGATAAGAAATTGGAATTGACTAGTGAGGCCAAGGTGAGTGCATACTAGTGATATGTAGTGTTTAATGGAAATAAGACTTGCGATGAGTCTATTTCCTAGAGTAATATGCATGAAGTCATGGACATGATTATGTGTTGTTATAATTATATGTGATTATCTGTATTACATTGATTGTATGTATGCATGACTAAAGATAATGATATGCTTTGTATATGTTATGTGATTATGAATAGGTAGAAAGGAAACAAATGATGATATAAGAATCTATTATAAGATATATGATATGAAAATATGATAGTGAGCTATGTGAAAGAACTATGAGATATATGAGTTATATAGAAAATATATGCGAACAAGATATGACATATATGTTTATATGAAACAATGCAAGGTGATATGAGCTATGTGAGATATGAATATAAAATCATATGAGAAGTGAAAAGAATTACATGAAAATAGACTAAGTGATTACATGTATATGTGAAAGAAGCTATATGATACGATCTATGTGATTACATGCAACATATGATATTAGATATATGTTTACACATACATGTGGTATGTGACAGAAGAGAAGGAACATGTGATTATGAGATTAATGATTACACGTACATGTGATACGTGACTGAAAAGAAAAGATATGTGTTTATAAGAGAAAGAATATGAATAAGTAATGTGAACTGTTATAAATGATAATGCCCATGTTATGTGATATGAGAGCTAGGGGTATAGTTGGCATGCCAAGGGTCGAGGGTTTACCTATGTTCTTCGGGATATATGGACTGTTTACCTATGTTCTTCGAGACATATGGACTGTTTACCTATGTTCTTCGGGACATATTTACTGATTACCTAGGTTCTTCGGAATCTATGGACTGGTTCTTCGGGACATTGATCGAGCTGTGGTGACAGTATATGTGTGCACAACCTCAATGTACTCACATACCTTAAGTTCTCACTAGTGTACATGGGCTAATAAAGTGATTAAACAAGCATACTGAATGTGATATGTATACGATGTGGGTTTATAAATGGTTATCAAAGGTAAGTGGTTTGAAATGTGTTACATGAACCATATGATGTTATGTGTGTTTCTTAATGATAATGATAGAGATTATGATAATGATGGTATATGTTTATGTATGCTTTATGTTATATGAAATATTATATGTTTTATATGCCTCACTAAGTCATCGACTTAGCGTGTGATTGTTTCACACGTAGGTTTGGAAAGCGAAAAGAAAAGTAAAGAGGAACAAGACAAGTCAGTTCTCCTTACCAAATGTCAGATCAGAAGAGAGGTGAATAATATGTATTTTTGTATATAAAGTTCTAGTTGGCATGTAATCAAAAGAATATATTGTATAAGCTCTGAATAATTTTGTAAATGTTTTGAATAATTTAAATGTTATAAAAGTTTTTAAATTACTCACTATTTTATACGAATAAATTTTTGAAAAGTCAATGTGACACTTCAGACTCGTATCCTGGTCGGATACGGGTTGGGGGTGTTACATTAAATATGTAAGATTATTATATATAAAAAATAAATGTAAATGGGTACCCAAAAAAATTTAATTTTGTGACCCGGACCCGACCTGAGAAATGTCGAGCTGGGTACCCTACCCCGAACTTGAATTTTTTTTTTTAAAAAAGTACTCAAATTTTTTTATCGGATCGGCGGGTCGAGTCATCTGGGTCGGGTATTTTTAAACACCCTTAATTGAGAGTCTTTTAAACATGTACTACCACTTGTAAAATGCCCTAGATTAATAAAAAAAAATTATCTCATGATAAAATAATTAGGGTCGGCCAGGGACAGACATATGATCTTATGTTAGAGGAAAAATTTAAAAGAGGCGAAAACAAATTTTCAATAGAAAATACATAGAAAAAAAATCTAAAATATACGTTAATTTTAAATTTTTAGGAGAGCGACCGCCCCGTTTAGATATATCCCTGGGATCAACTCTTAGGGAAAGCACCTTGCGAGCCCTTAATTTCTATATTTATAATTAAACCCTTTAATTTTTATATTTATAATTGAGGTATTATTTTTTCTAATTTTATAAAATCCTCAATTTTTTATTTATTTCATTTTTCGTATTAGTTCATTCGATTTTAAATTAAATTTAATTATATTTTTTTCTTATTCAAATCTATTTTTTTAATTTATAAAATATTATTTAACTTTTAGTCTTTTCCATGTCAATCTAACGGTAAAATAATTAACTATTTTTCATTTTTTATTTATTGTTCAAAACCAAGCTGAATTTCACACTCACATTCAGTTTTTTCTTACTTATTCTCTTTTAATTTTATTTAAGGTGTTTTTTACAAAATAACAAAAATAATATGTTTAACAAAATTTAATAATTTTTCTATGATTTATTAATATAATATTAAATTAGTTGTTCAAGGTAACAATATATATTTTTGTTCTATAAGGTCTATTTTTAAGTTTTCACTCTAAATAATTCGGAACTAATTGGAGAAACTAGGGCCATGGCCCCCTCAAAATTAGAAAATTCAATTTTAGACCTTTAAATTTTTCAAAAAAATTAATTTGCCCCATAGTTTTTTTCAAAACATGAACAATTTAAAAGTTTAATAAATAAATTAAAAAAATTAAAATTGCAACGAATAACGAAAGTCAAATTCAATGAAAAATGATGTGATTTACCCTTCATTTAGCTAAGAACTTATAAATTCCCATTAGCATGTGAAAGCATTCAACGCAAAATGGAAAACATAGTAATTATTTTCATGGGTAGATTACATTAATCATTACTGAATTTTATTATTTCTTTTATTTCATTCATTATATTTTAAATTTTTTAAATTTTTCACTAAATTTAATACATTTAACTTTTTTTTGTTACTTCGTTTTTTTTCCGCTAACGACTGTAGAAATTGATTGTTATATAGATATAAAATGGCTTCATTTGGGTGAAAAAATTAATTTTTCTAAAATGACATCGTTTCAACGCTATTAATTATTTAACAACATAGTGACAAAAAAGTCAAATATATTAAATTTAGTAAAAATATTAAACGAAATTAAATTATAGCGAGTGAAAGGAGAGAAAGAGTAAAATTAAGCGATTAGTGTAATTTACCCTTATTTTCAGGTACAATGTTTTTGACAAAGTAGCTGGCAAAATATTGGAGCTTTCCTGGAAAATAATCACCAAGAAAAATGAAACAAACGAGTGAAAAAAATGATGAAAACATCTGTTGGTATAAAGGGACAGTGCTGAAACTCTCCCTCTCACCCTCACCTCCTCTTCTCTGCGTGAACTGTACACCGGGAAAGTTTTAGGAATTTAAGTTTTCGTTTTCATTCTTTTTACTTATTTCAACAGAGGCACAGGAAGTAAAATCTCAGTTGGAAACTCTGTCTCCGGCGCCGGAGTTTCAAGGTGCGTCACCGTTTACTTTTCCATTTTCATTCCGGTCATGATACATGCTCTTCTTTTTCCCTTTTGGATTTAAACAAGTTTTTACGTGCATTGGCTTTGAAATATAGAATCAAAACATTGGGGGGGGGGAATTTTCAACTGTGAGTAACTTCTTTGTTGGTTTTCCGTCGGATATTTCCCCAATGTAGAAAATTTGGGTTACTTCCCTGCTTCTCTATTGAACTACTTTTTCATTGTTGAATCTTCATTTCCTTGCTCTTCGTCGTAGTTTATATTTTTCATATTATACTCTCTCTTTTACCGTCTGGGAAAAGAAAATTTGTGAGTGAATTTTGTAGTTTTCCATGAAAATTTTTTGGTAGCATTCCGGGTTCTTTAAATTGTTCATTTTCCTTTCGGAGATTCTGGGTTTTTTAGTTTTTATTTGTTGATTCAGCCTGATATTAACCATTCATGAGTGAGTCCCAAGGGTATTCTGCGTTTTCTGTCTTATTTATTGTAGTTAGGGACATAATAAATGTTATTGGCTATTGCGGTTAAGTTAGTATTACAGTAGTAAAAATTTATAAACTTTTTTAAAGGAGTTAATTTTTCTTTTAAAAAGGTTTTAATTTTTCTTTTAAAAAGAATTAAAATAGCAGAACAAACCACGGTCTGCTATTGTTGCAGTCGGCTTTTACCCGTTATATTACGAGCGTGACAATTGATGTGATTTCACTTTAAGCGGCTATTTTCCACAAACAATTTCGGACACCGTAATGCTACATTGTGCTACATTGCGGCCAGTGGCGGATGTAAAGGATAGTCAGGGTGGACACCTGAAATCCGATTTTTTTATATTAGTTGTTCATTTTATTATGACACTTATCTTTAAATTTTATTTGTGTCCAATTTTAATTATTAATATTTACGTCCCCATCTTAAAAATATTTTTTGCATACACCATGGGAACCTAAAAAATATTTATGGATCCACACTAAGAGCGGCCGCTATTCCACTGTCCTGCCGCTATTTAAATTCATCTGAATGGTTGTTTATATTTATTGTTTTATGAGATGTCTAATAACCGTGCCAGCATGGTACAGATCAAATTGTTTTTATATTAGCTTACTTTTGGATGGTTCTGCCATATTCAATGACATTATTTCTTGTAAATTACAGATCATATGTATCCCATTAATTTTGGTAGTTGATTCTCACTTCTATCATTCTTTTGTATCATCACTGTCATTTGTCTTCACAAAATCCACATGCAGACATACATGTTATCTTTAGTGTGCTTCCATGTGATTTACCAACTTCCTAGAGACATTTTACACTTTGCACTGTTTCGCCTATGTTTCGAATACATGTGTTGCTGTCATTGTAGAATATAAGATTTATGCAAAAAGCTTTTTGTTTTTACCCTGTTGAATCAGTTATGGGAAACATGAGAAGTCCATTCAAGGGGATAGTCAAAGACATCAAGGGTAGAAGCAAGTGCTACAAGCAAGACTGGGTCAATGGATTTTGCTCTGGCTTCCGGTATGTTCTTCGTTTCGATGTTTTTGGCACTACATTATGTTCCACTTATGAAGATATTTTTTATTTTTACATATTTCACCTATCATTTCCACCAGGATATTTGCTCCAACTTTCTATATCTTCTTTGCTTCTGCTCTTCCTGTTATCGCCTTTGGAGAGCAACTGAGTCGAGATACAGGTACTGCATTTGTTTTGAGAATGTTTAAAAGCTAGTCTGTTCTAGAATGAGGTTACGTCAATGCAAATCATCTCATCTCAAAGATTATTATTGCGGGATGTTAGTGCCAAAAACTCATTTATCCTATTTTTCTTCTTCTTGAGTTTATGGCTTTTCATGAATAAACCTTGATATTGTTTATGTTTTTCTTGTTTCAGATGGTGCCCTGAGCACAGTGGAAACATTGGCTTCCACAGCTATTTGTGGAATCATTCACTCCATTTTAAGTGGGCAGCCTTTGTTGATAGTAGGTGTTGCGGAGCCAACAATTATCATGTACACTTATTTGTACAATTTCAGCAAAGGAAGGCCAGAGTTGGGCCAGGATCTCTTTTCGGCTTGGACCGCATGGTAATGAATATCGTTCCCTCTCTTTTTCTTATTGTAATTTTAAGATCATTGTTTAACATTCTTCAAGATTTTTGATTCAGTTGAAATGTTCTTATCGTTTAAGTTCGTTTCTTTTCTTATCTTTCCCAGGGTTTGCGTATGGACAGCTATGCTGCTCATTCTTCTTGCTATATTCAATGCATGTACCATAATCACCAGGTTTACAAGAATTGCAGGAGAGCTTTTCGGCATGTTAATAATTGTCCTTTTCCTTCAAGAGGCCGTTAAGGTATTGAAATGACTTATGCAACAAAAAATTTGCAATGTTTATGATGACGGAATCATATGGTTTAACCTTGATAGTTATAAATGTTTGGATAATAGGGAGTGATCAGTGAGTTCAATGTTCCCAAAGGCGAAAATCGTAAGTTGGACAAATATCAGTTCCCCTGGCTATTTTCAAATGGGTTGCTTGCAGTCATTTTCTCATTTGGGGTTTTATTCACGTCCCTAAAGACACGGAAGGCAAGATTGTGGCGTTACGGAACAGGTACACCGACTCACTAACCGGGATTTACTGATTTGTCAGTTTAGATGGATATTATTTCTGGAACTTTTTTCTTCTTTAAATCATGTTCTTAATGGATCTACTTTCAGGCTGGCTTCGAGGTTTTCTTGCGGATTATGGGGTACCCCTTATGATCTTGTGTTGGACAGCATTGTCTTACACGATACCTCAACAAGTTAATTCCGGAGTTCCCAGGAGGCTGTTCTGTCCACTTCTTTGGGAACCTGAATCATTACATCATTGGACAGTAATAAACGTAAGTTATGATTCAATTACTTTGTCTGTTCCATTTCCGCAGGTCTTATGTTGTCGATATCTTATAACTGAACCGCCTCTCGTTACAGGATATGGGAAAGGTACCAATAATGTACATCTTTGCTGCCTTTATACCAGCAGTAATGATAGCAAGTCTATACTTCTTCGATCACAGTGTTGCTTCACAGTTGGCACAACAAAAGGAGTTCAACCTTAACAATCCCTCTGCTTACCATTATGATATCTTATTGCTAGGAGTTATGGTACTTAATTCTTCCACCGTAGTCGTTACCCCTTTTTTTCACAAGTTATATGTTTCATACTAATCTCAAGCTTAAATTCTTCTTGTCAATTTTGGTTTCAGACTTTGATTTGTGGATTGCTGGGACTCCCTCCTTCAAATGGGGTCCTTCCACAATCTCCCATGCACACCAAGAGCCTCGCAGTTCTCAAAAGACAGGTTAGACGTCGTAAATTAGAAACTGTTCCAATAATTCTTTTATGATCTCCATCGATCTAGCTTCTTAGACTATTCAATTCATCGATTGCAGCTGATTAGGGAAAAAATGGTAAAAAGTGCCAAGGAGGGCATATCACAACTAGCGAGCAACTCGGAAATCTATGGAAGGATGCAAGCTGTGTTCATAGAAATGGATGCGTCTTCTGCTGTAAGTACTGCAGGCTTGTATACGTACGTTTGCTCTCAAGCAGGATTTCAAATAGCAGCCGAATAGCGGTGTCGCGGCTGTTATATCGCGGTCGCGGTGGTGTCCGAAACCGCTATGTGGAAAATAACGGTGTGAAGCGGGATCACACCAATAGCGGCGGATCGCGGCCGCAATTTAGCAGATCGCAGCCAATCGCGGCAATAACGGACCCCTATTCCGCTTTTATTCCGTTATTTTAATTTTTAAAAAAAATGTTTTTTATTAAAAAAAATCAGCTCCTTCGAAAAAATTCACGATCGCGATATCCGCAATGACCGCAATAGCATCCATTGTATCCACAACCGTGATAAACGCGACGCGACCTAAAATGTGACCGCGAACGCTATTTAGAACCCTGCTCACAAGCATATTTGATTTGCTGCAAGACTTACTATAGCATAATTTGGATTGCAGCCTACTTCAGTAGATAAAGAGTTGCAGAACTTGAAAGAGGCTGTAATGAAACGTGACGGTAGGGAGACTGCAAAAGAAAATTTTGATCCTGAGAAGCATATTGATGCTTATTTGCCGGTTAGAGTCAATGAGCAAAGAATGAGTAACTTGTTGCAGTCATTCCTCATTGGACTTTCATTATGTGCTCTGCCTGTAGTAAAAATGATACCTACCTCGGTACTATGGGGATACTTTGCCTACATGGCCATTGACAGCCTCCCAGGGAACCAGTTCTGGGAAAGGGTGTTGCTTCTGTTCATCACCCCCAGAAGACGTTACAAGTAAGTCGACATACCTTAAAAATAAACTTAAAATACAAAACAGGCATTTTATGAAGATGGTTGATTTATACAAAGATATATCATATAGAAGCAGTAGTATAACTCTGATAAGAAACTGAATTTGATGGTTTATGTGATTTTGCATCTTATATCTTCGAACAGAGTCCTTGAAGGTGTTCACGCATCATTCGTGGAGTCTGTACCTTTCAAGCCCATTTTGATGTTTACACTCTTCCAATTGGTATATTTTCTGGTATGTTTTGGTGTGACATGGATACCTATAGCTGGAATACTGTTTCCACTGCCGTTCTTCCTCCTCATCAGCATCAGACAGCACATCCTTCCAAAGTTTTTCTCACATGAATATCTTCGAGAACTCGATGCTGCTGAGTACGAAGAAATTGCTGGCACACCCCGTAGAAACTTAAGTTTATCATTCAAGGTACATCTTTTTCGGTCCTTCCTCATAATCTGCTGTTTTAGAACCAGAACAATATTTCCATTTGGTTTCAACCTGTCAAATAAACTTATGGGAAGAGTTCCTCTCCTTAACCAAAATCTTACCGTAAATGACATGGTTTTCCTTTTGTACTCTAGTACCGTTCGAGTCATGGAAACTCTTTTGGCTTAAAAGATTTTATGCAGTTTGTTCACATACCTAGTAATGTTCAAACAGGAAAGGGAATCATTTGATTATCACAGTGAAGGGACTGAAGACAACTTTTCTGATGCTGAGATATTGGATGAAATGACAACACACAGAGGAGAATTGAAGCTTAGAACCGTAAGCTTTAAGGAAGAAAAGTTACATCAGGCTTATCTTTAAGTTTTAGTGTTCGATGAGCCTGCTATGACGTAGGACGCCAATTTGTAATCATCATCCTCGGTTTGACTGAAGGAACGATCATAATCCTAATGAGGAAATGTCCACGAATGTTGCCTCTTATATAGCCAGTTATTTACCAGAAAAGCTGACAGAAAAAGGATTCAACACTTTCTGGCTAGAATATTAACTGTGAAGTTAGGTACTTTTCATGTTGGAAAAAAAATGGAAATGCCAATTCTTTTATTGATTTTATCATCAAATTATGGGTTTTCCCTTCTAGTTATAATGAAAAATATTATGTTTATTTTACTTTCCTTGGGCTTTTGATCGATGTCCCACGGCATCAGGCAATAGTGGAAACCCTTGCCTTTTCTTCCTTCTCAAGTCATTAGTTTCTAGTCAGAAGCTGGATGGGCATCATAGAGTACCAAGTTACATGTTGAATCAAGATTTTGGCCTAGAAATAACTATTTGGTTCCCTGTTTCGAGACTGAAAACAATGTTCAACCAGCTGGAAATGGGAAAACTATGCAGGAGGTGAGGTGAATGTACTGAGAATTTTGAAAAAAATTTATTTGAATATGTATTTTTGACAGACAGTAAAATTTTCCATTCCCTGTTCTATGTTACATTTCCCTTCTCCTTCCGATGGTGCAGACCGAGTCGAGAAAGAGAGTCATGGCAGTGATTCCTTTGAGTCTCCCAAACGAGACAAATGAAGATATGAATCGGTCCCTGTCAATCATAACACAAAGGATATGTCAGTTTGAAATCTGGTTATCTGGTTTTATATATGAACAATCCTTTGATTGTCGCTTTCTACTTTATATTAAAGTGCCGGTGCCAGACTTTAATATCGCAGGTAATTTTATGTGTTTAAGCGATCAAATCGTAGCAAACTACACCCACCATATCCTTCCATAGAGATTACTTGAAGATCCCCTCCAAAATACTGTGCATACAAGCGGCTTATAGGTATTCCGTAACCGTATCCGGCCATTGTTACTCTATCATCCATTACGAGAGCCGAGTACTCATCCAAGGGGGTTTTGGCAGTGCTATAAAGGTATGTGAAAATCTTGGGAAGGCCTTTTCTTGGTATTCCACCCCCTTCATCTGAGATCTGCATTGCCAGTTAAGACCTACTTATGATGCTAGTCAAAGACCAAGATTGCATAGTTCATCAGGCATGAGAAACTACCTTTACGGTCACATCCTCGATTCCCTCGGCAACTATTATTCGAACAGGCGGTGCGACTTTATCCAAATCCATAAAACGCTCTTGGACAGCACGCAATGAGTTCTTGACCAACTCGAACACCATAAGCTGCAAATGAGTTGGAACGTACCTGTTATGCAAGAAAAACAGACGATACATGTGAAGGAAAACAAAGGATTATCGGTTACCATATTAATGACTGAACAAAAGACACAGGACGGCTTGGGAGAATCCATGATTGGAAGTGTATATAAAATCTACTTACGGAAACGTAAAAACTGGGATCGCCATATATAACGATTTCAGGTGCAGTCCTGCATTCTCGCAAGCAAATCGCACGAGCACTTTCGCTAGCATTTCGTGCCACTTCCACAGGAGACATTTTTGTATGTATATAGCCAACAACATATGTTGGAGGATTCAGCTTATGCAACTCGACATGCTGCCCTGGTTTCACCAAAATTTAAACATGCAGACAGTGCTTACAACCAGCTTCAAGATACAGATAATGAAGAAAACAATAGATCTATCACACTAAAAGTAATGAAGTTAAAACCAACCGATAAGCATGCGAATCCCGATTCTCGACATGTAAAACCGATCTAGAAACTGATGAATCTCGTCGAGATCCTCATAAACGATCTTCGGATCCATTCCTTTCAACTGTTGAACCCCCAAGGCCATCGTAGGCACGACGTGAAATTTCTTTGATTCCATTAGCAGTTAGCAGCAGCAAAGCAAGGATAGCACCGGGGTCACAATATTACTAGGCCTGCATCGGAATGCTTTATAAGGTCGTGACGCCGCAAACCGCATCAGCAATATAAAAACGTAGTTATTTTTAAAAAATAAATCACATTGTAACGTCTGCGACCCCACAACCGCAACACCGCAGCCGCAGTTTAGTAGTTTGATTGGGGTTCATCCAAGACAATGAATTTCAAAGGCAAGTCAAGTGGGAGTTGAAGTTTGGGTTTGAAATTCAAAGACCATTTTTGGCAAAAATGGAAAACCAAACTCAAAACAAAGCATTTGGGGTTCATCCAAGAGAAAAAGGAGAAGAAGAAGAAACGAACCTTCAAAACAGCAGGCTTGTCAGAAAGGCCATAAGGGAGGGCACCGAGCTCAATAGCTCTGCGGGCAAATTCTGATAGGGAGCTCCTTGTGAAGGGACTGGCCGGAAAGCAACAAGTTCCGGGCCGATGGATTTGACCCGAACTCCATCATGTACCTCAAGCTCACCCCGGTCTGCTTCATGCAACCCCATTTATGGACCTCGTCAATTAAGCTCTTGGAAAAAGACTCATACGCTTCTTAGCCGCCATCACCAACGCTTATAATGCCAAACTAACACACATACACAACATTGGAGGAGACGATGCAAAATCAAAAACCAAAAAGAATAATATTAACACCCAAAACAAGGAAAAGCTTGGGAACATAAATTGGATTTCACTGGCTAATAATGTAAAATGCTTAAGAAAAAATGGTTTTTACAATTGCAGGCGCCCGGGGGAGTCGTCTTTCCTCTTGTCCTCTCCCTCCAGCTCTGCCTCTATGTTGTAATGATTAATGAAAAAATAGACTTTTTACGATATGAATTATGATAATCACAGTATATTCTCAGAATTTTAACGTTGATGTTAAAAAACCAAAAGAGAATGAAATCACCATACCCCTGTCAAAACTGAAAATCTCTGTTCCTCTTGTAAATGGTGAGTGGTGGTGGTGACTCAATCAATTTAGCTTTTCAACACGAAATATGCATAATTTAGTTTTTTTATTTAATACAAGGGGGAAATCTACGAAGCCCGCTGTTTAAGTTGGTTTGTTGGTTTTATTTATTTTCAAAAAAAGATATGATAGTCATTTGAGATTTGAGGATTATATTTGATCATATCACAATCAGTAGGTAGAGTTGTAAACGAGTCGAGTTGAGCTTGAGTATTGCAGAGCTTGACTTGACTTGACTCGAAAACTATGAGCTTAAAATTATGAAGCTCAACTTGAACTCAAAATAAAAAGTTAAAGATTGAATCAACTCGAAATCTCACGAGCTTAAAATTTTCAAGCTCAACTCAAGCTCGAAAAAACTTGAACTAAAAATATTCTCAGACTTAGTCGATTGATGCTCAAACTCGAGCACGAACCTAAACCCTAAGTATATGAAAGTCTTATATTGTATTTTAGAGAAAAAAATAACATATAAATGTTAATATTATTAATAATTTAATTTAAAAAATCTAAAATTTAATATATTATTTTTCAAGTTGTTCTCCAGCTTTTTGAGTTGAGTATGAAATAACTCGCTTCGGCTCATTAAGAATTCGAGACGAGTTCGAGCTCAAGTCAAGTTCATTCGATTCAAAAGTTGATCGAGCTTTGACTAAATCGATCTAGAATAGTTTGCGACCTGTCTTGTCTCATCTACAACCCTATCAACATGTTAATATCAACTCAAATTATCATCAATTTTTTAACATAAAATGACGAGTTTGGAACATATGAATAGTCAAGTAACCATTTTATAATTATTAATAGTCGAAAGCAATGCTCTATAGTTAAGGGACTATTTCATAACTTTTAATAGCCGGGACTTAAAAAAATATCACTATAGTTAGGGGACCATTTGTGTACTTTTCCCAACAAATAGCATTTTTTGAGGAGGTAAAAAATAATAATTTATCTGTGACGTTTTTGTAAACTCTAATATTTTTCTTTCAAATATCCTCATATTTTATTTTCGACGATGACCTTTCAGTTGACCACCAAATCCTTATTTTTGTTGTATTTTCTTTGTTGTCGGTAATACCATCGTCTACCGACAATCCCATTTCATTGCTTTATTTCTTCCGTCTTTCCAGGTAAATTTGGGCCAATAATCCTGGTGTCAAATTTATTTAGCCTTATAGGGCACAAAAAAAAAAGATTTTATAATATATGACAATTGATACATTATTGTGAAAATTCGTCATTTCGAGATAAATAGTTTATTTAAATGTTAACTTTTAATGGACTCATGCGAAAGTTCTCGTGTAGTTAAATTTTTTAATATATCTAAGGTAATTTATTATTTTGATATGATGAGTTCTAATAAAATATATTATTTTTTGTGTAATTAAAATAATATATATATATTAATTTTTTAGAAAAATAATAAAAATTGTAACGCCGTCAAACTAATACAAGTGACCCAATACGATCCAAGACGTCACATTAGGGCTACTTGAGCAACCTACACTGAAGATTCAGAAACATAAAATTTTGTAAAACTATTTAATGTCATAAACGATTTAAAACTACAATATGCGTTCATAAATCATAAAAATAGAATTCATTTTTATACACTATAAAAATAAGTTTCAGACTCTAATATAAAAAAAAAATTGTGACCTATATGCCCCTAATTACACTTATATCGTACTTTGCAAGAAACACCGAATGAACTCCTAAAACTGATGTCGATAATCACATAATCAATTCATTTGAACCTGAAATGGTAAGTAATAAAATGAGATTTGAAAAAGCTCATTAATACAAAACTATCAAATGATGCTATAAGCAAGAAGATATATGATAAACCATGATATTCCTTAGTGATCCAGACATCTATAAGTTCTAGTGAAGAACTAAAATTTGCTTAGGAGATTCTTCAAGTAAAAGTCGAGAAGTTTATAAATTGGATGAATTAGATAAAGATAGATTATAGAAATTAAGTTGAAGAGTCTAGTGTGTCCCATCAGTGCAAGAAAAAGTATGTATAGTTTTGAATAGTAATAATTCATTACAGCAAAACATACTTTTAAAAAGAGACAATAAAATTTAGTTTCAAAATCATTTGACTATCCTCCATCCAAATGCCATAATGTGTAGGTTCCCAGAACCATACACCAACTTGTACACCCGGTAAGGATATTATGTGTTTAGCATAAGTACATGCAGTAAGAACTTACCCTGTGCATAAAGCAAAAAGAGCACGCAGTAAGGACTTATCATATGTATAAAGCTAATGAACTTGCGCTAA